TGCATTCTCACCTGATAAAGGACACATTTAACTGTTTTTGCTATTGAAGCTAACTAAAGTTGTCTTACTGTCTTTTGTCAAGAGAATGCTTATTTAGCCAGAAAGATTTTAGAAGCTCATCACTGTATCTATGTTGTCCCAAAACTGGGGTTTCATTTACCTAGCCAGTACACCAATATACACACAGAGCAGAGGTATTTTATTGCACATTTGCACAGATATTGGTGTCGGGCCCAAGACAGCACACCAAAGCGCCAAATCAGTGGGTATTTATACATAAAACATGAACATATTCATCTTTTAATGCATATGCATTGTTATTCTATTAAATGATTGATATAGATTTCCTGCAAACTAGAACGCAAGCTCAGTTCTTTTCTCTGCCTTTATCTTTTGAGTAAGTGCTACAGCTGGGGTAGGTGGTCCATGTGTCAGTGGTTGCAATTCTCCTTGCCGGAATTAACTTTCCCCTAGTTTCTCTGTACTTTTGGCAAGTCCAAATGGTTCTTCATGGTTTACTGACTGAACTAGTAATATATCAGTTAACCTTCAGCTTTTAACAATCACAACCTACTTATCAGACAAAGGTACATTATTTAGATATTTCTCGTCTGGCCTTAAACCAGCAGGGGTAGGGCTACACAATGGACTTTAGCAGCAGCATGACAACTTGATTCATATCACATTTTGCATTTGGTTTTACTGTAACACCCAGAATATGATTAGTCTGATCTAATCTAGGTTAACTGTGTCCACCTAAGGTAATTGCACTTGTTTTCTGAAGGAAACAGGCACTTTCAGGAGGGGAGTGAGTGCATTTTGGAATGGGTGCCTGAGAGGGGAACCAAACCAGCCTTTGCAAATGCCTGGGTTTTTTCCATTGGCTGTAAAGGAAGTCAGTGGTGTCTTGTGTAGAGAACAAAATTTCAGTAGTCTAGGGTTGAATGAAACTATGTCCGCTGGCATCAAAAAAGATAATGGTTATAGGGATAGAAAAGTTATTTTCTTTTTAGAAATGAGTGATTAACTGAAGGAGTGAAGACAGAAAATTTTCTTCTTGATTCAGTTTAATTAGAGAGGGTTGAGGGAAATCCTCTGTAATTCTATGGAAATGGATTAGAACAGATGAAACAGTACAAGAGGGAAGGCAGCTGGTGGCAGCTCTTGGGCTACAAGTTTAAACCCTGCTCCTTACTCATGTTGAAGACTGTTCTCAACATCCTTTTGTTTATGGGCATCTGGTCATTCAGACTGGAGAACTTAGAGCCAAATGGAATACCGGCCTTGTCTTTGAGACATATGTAGCCAACAATTAAGGTAGTTCTGGGAATGTCATGGGGATGAGATGGATTTTTGACATTGATTCTATGGTATATTCTGCAATACAGCCTAAACATCTTAATTGCTCAGGAAAGAGGATGATATGGAAGGATAATGATATAGTTAAATATGTATATTTTCAAATTACACAATAGAGCAAATGATGATAAATTCATAAATACAATTCTGTGAAAATAATATATCATGAGTTGAGAATTTTGCAACACAGTGTACTAAAATACAAACCTTAAATTTCTTAAATATTTAAAATGCTAAGGGAAGTTAGAGATAATTAAGGAACAGGCTTACATTTTAAATGTACAGCTTTGGCTGTCTGATTTTAATGCTAACAAAATATGGTTAAGCTCAGGCATCAAAATATGGGGGTTAATTTATGCAGGATCACTTTATCCATCTATTTTATGTAAATAACTATGTATCTGTAAAAATTGTAGCTAACTTCAGTCTAAGCAATTTATGCTGGAATTAGTAAAGCTCATAGTTGGTAAAGAGAAATAAGCACATGTGCCAGGGAAGAGTTGCCCTGCAGAAGTGCTCCTGTATGTCTTCTAATGATAAAGAATGATTTACAGTTTGGAGATGTCTGAGTTTGAGAGCTGAATCTTGTTAGTCCACCTAGGGCTGGCTGGACTCTGGGGTGTTTTTTATATATTTTTGAAAATGTGGACTGGATATAGATCTTATTTATTTAGTTTTCCTGAAGGTAACTTAAGCAAAAATACAGAAGTCATTTTCTTAATTTTATGGGATTTTTTTTACATCTGTCGATGAACGGTGTGTCTGTCCTAGTCACACACTACCCGAAAAATGTTAGCTGAGACAGAGGTATCATCAGAAAAAGCTTTTACTGGAAAAAACAACCCTCACTGATTTCTCAGTTTGAATGGAATGAATCATGTTAATTGTATGCTGCTAGCTGGTTGGTTACATTGCATTCTTTTTCTCTAAGAATGTGCGTAAAGTTGCAGCAGAAGCATTTTTGAGGTAACAAGCTAGCTAGAAAAAATTTTGACATTTCTATGGCCCATATTATTAAATATCAAAACAGAGCGCCTTATCAGGGACAGAATGCTAAATATAATTTTAAATATCAGATTATTGTTTTTCTTTGTCTTGGCCACCAATTCAAAGTGCCAGTTATAGTGTGCATTATTGTGTGAAAACAATAACGTTTGTATGCAACCATTCTGTGGCTATAAACAGTATGCTGTAGTGACAAGTATAAATATAGACTGTGCCCATTGTAATATACTTGCTAGTCTATATTCAAGGGATAAATGTGCTTTCAGTAATCAGGCAATATATAAGGTCACCAACTGTCCAAAAAACATTTAGTAGAAAGTCAGCTACAACATTTTTTCTATGGATTAGCTATGGGAAGTAGTATCAGTAGACATTGACATTTTTCACATAGATTCAGAAGATTTATGCTCTTTTTAGCTTTTTATAATGAATATAGGTTGGTTGGTTTATTTCCTTCAAAGAGTGTCTAGGTCTCCTGGCTACAGTGCTTTCTGAAAGCTAAGTCTAGAAATGCTGACAAGAAAGAGAAATAGGTTAAGCAGGAATTCATCTGTGACAAGTTTAATGGCAATTTTAGACTAGGACAAATTGCTTAATTCCAGGAAAACCTGAAGACTGGTTTAGTACCTGTGTGGAAGGACTCATTCTTCATCCATCTCTCCCTGTCCCACAGCCCTGTTAACATGACAACTCTCCCTAACACACTCTATATAGGCATTTTTTCCCAATTGCTTCTCTTCATCAGTTTGGCTTACTCAGTATCAGCAGCTTTTCATTAAATGATGCTAATTTTGTGGGAGATAAATGATGGAAGTGGGCTAATCTATTCCAGCTTTAATTCTGTTTGTTCATGCTATATGTATTAATTAGTGTTAAGACATTTCTAAAGGTATTTTTGTCATAATTCTGTCTTGCACTGGATTGCAGTGGGTGATGCAATGAGACATGTTTTACCTGATTCAGTACTATGTGTAGGGCCGATAAATTAGGCTTTCTCATTTCAGGAGTCCTGCCTTATTTTGTAAGCAAAGTTATCATTGTTCTAACAAATAATTGATAACTAGGAACATTAAGATACGCTAAAACCCCGAGCTCTCAAAAGGAAATAGTGGCTTAGCAGCCAGGTAGAGAATGAGGTTCACGTTTAAGCAGAAATTGAAGTGCTCCAATAAATATTCATGTCTGAAAAACGAAAATAATTTTTGAAGTGTTGAAAGACATTAGAAATTTCAACACAAAGGATCTCTTCACCTTTAACAGCTGTGAAAATTTAAAATAGGGTTTTATTTAGAAAATAAACAAAAATGTCAGCACTCTCTTCTAGCATAATATTGGAAATGGCATTTCAGTCTTTTTTTGTTATTGTTAAAATACACGTTTTTCAAAGCATGATTTATCTGTATAGGACAGATTTAAAAAATTGTTTACTGTCCAAAATTCATCATTAGTAAGCTTTATAAAGTGATTACCTTTTTTTACCAAAGATAATTTTTGCTCGGTCTTTCCCCAAAATATTGTTTGCATTAGGAGAAAAAGGGTGAGAGAAAGACAAAAATGGCTACTTAATTGTTTCAAAAGTATTTTGATTTCTTTGCTTATCTTTCTTCATCATTTTTAGCAGATCTATGTTGTAGTGTTACTTTATTTATGTTTGGCAAGATATGATAAAGCTCAGCTGCATTTGCTTTCAAGCAGCATGCAAAGCCAAACTATTAAATTCTTTTCCTAAACTCTCATTTTGGGATTTTTTTTATTACATATGTATGTCTGCATTGTACTTAATCTGTTTGAATTAAGAAAGTTCTACATTTTGTCAAGTTATTAGTACTTTCCAATGAACATATTCCTCTTGCACAGTGTTACAATACTGTTACAGTAACATTCAGAGAATTGATGAGCTACTTCAGCTTTCAAATCTTAAAAAAATATTTAACACTAGAGCTATGACTTTAAGGCAACATTTTATGCTTTGCCAAATTATGAATCTAGTTTTAAACATGCTTTTGCTTAAAAAAATGCATGTGGTGGTAACAATTCTAACACATGAAAATTTAAACTTAAAATAGCATTGCTATTGTAGTTGTTAATGGTATTGTTTCTCAAAAAATATTTTAAAGGAGGAATAGCTAATGTTTTCCGTTCCATGCATTCTGTATGAATAGGAATAATGTACTTATTATCTTTCTGTTGTATACAACACAGGCCTCATTTTGACATTGCATGTTCATAGTTATTGTACAGTCTTTCAAACTAACAGTTTAAACAGGAGGCAGCCTTGGAGGAGTTGGAAATAAACATAAATTCAGTGCAAGTGTCTTTGAACACAGAGTGTTAATATGTTATGGTAGTTTTCAAATTAAAAATGTCTTCTGATATTTACATAACTTACTGTAAAACATGGTTTGAAAATAATTTGTAACATGGTAATCTTTCACTGTATGTGTATATGAGTTACTACCTGATAATGAAAATAATCTGTGCTTCTTACTACTATACTGTAAAAAGAGAGGAAAAAACTTTCTTCAAGATTTCAGTGATCAAAGATTGAAATGATTGCCTAACGTTTTTTAGTAAGGTTCTTTCTTTGCTTGCTTCAACTTGTTTGAGATTGACCAGCGGATATTTCCCATGTTCAGGTTTACCTTGGATATTCACCTTTAATGTGAAGTTTTATCCCCCTGATCCTTCACAGTTGACTGAAGACATCACTAGGTATGCATAGTTTCTAATTTTAAACTTAAAAATTACTGTCTAATTTGAAGGCTATATAAAATTTCTTCTTCAGTTTCTGGATGCCATAACAGGTTTGGCTATTACTGGTTTATTGTCAGGCTGCTGCTTTGCTTTGTTATATAGCACATAAGAGTGTGGGGGTATTGATATTAACAGCAAAACTCAAACGATCCAAGGTACTTCAGCAATAATCTAGGTTTGGTTGGTGATAATGCAGTTTTATACATCTGCATTAAATAAGTGCAGATAAATTATGCAATAAATAAATTATGCTTGTAACATAATAAAGCCTGAAAATAATTGTCTTCCAAAGTTCTCAGATAGAAAATACTTAGAATGCAGTGGATACTAGGCACCTAAAAAGTATCATTGCAAGACTAATATAACCGGTGGGTAGGGCGCAGGGAATTGACACTCGTTTTTTCAGGGGTTATGGAAAACCTAACCATTTAGTTTTGGTTTGGAGTTAGCTGACTGCTGAAGCAGGATATATTTTACCACACATCACATCGCACCAGTCTTCTGCACAAAATAAGATACCTACACAAGTGTGTAGCTCATATATTACTACAAATAGTCTAAGGCATTTAGTATGCAGAGTAATTAAAAGCTGTCTGTGTTTTCTTTGAAAATTTTCACCAAGTCGGTTGGCTTTTCAATTGTGTGTTCAGCTGATAAAAGCATTTTTATGGTTATAGCTTAGAGCTAAATTCCTTAAAATTTAAGCTTCACTTGTAAACCTTTTTTTTTAATTTACATTAAAATCTGTGCTAGGCTAGGATGTCTACTGTTTCTTAACTTGTTAAACTTAGAAGACTAAGTAGAAGACTGCATACAGTACCCGAAATATTAAATTCTAATACATACATGGTTTAAGGAAGGGAATTAACGGATTCAATACTAAACTGGATTTCTTTTGTGTATTACATGACTTGATTAGCTTGTGAGCTGCAAGGGATAAAAAAGTTAGAATTTTAAAGTCAAAGGAAATACGTGTGTTTTTATTTTTAAACCTTAGATACCTGCAGGCTACAACATGAAATGAAGGAGTTCCTAAGTCAACTTTTGTTACAAACTAGATATAGGTTTTCATTCATTTGTATTGGAAATCAGAATTTTCCCTCCTCTTCGCATCATTTATGAAAGTAATATCAACTCTTAAAAATGGAAGTGAAATGTATCGTGTGGCAATAATGCTCAAATAATGTAAGGTGTAGCAAATTATTAATGCATTGGCTTATTTTAAAATATGCTTACACGATTACGTGCATCTCGATAAATTCTGACATCTCTCTCAAACTGGCTGTTGGTAACACTTTGTTCTTGGTTTTGTTTGTGTTTTCCCATTTCCTTTGTGTTGCAGATATTTCTTGTGCCTACAGCTTCGTCAGGATATTGCTTCTGGTCGACTGCCATGTTCTTTTGTGACTCACGCCCTCCTCGGTTCATACACCCTGCAGGCTGAGCTGGGTGATCATGACCCAGAGGAGCATCGCAGTGACTATATCAGTGAATTCCAGTTTGCACCCAATCAAACTCAAGAAATGGAAGAGAAAGTAGCTGAGCTACATAAAACACACAGGTGTGTCATACAGTGGGATTAAATGAAACCATCATGCTTTGTCAGTCACTCCTATGTCAGTTCTCTTAAGAGTATGTGAAAAACTCGTACGCTGGCATTATTGTTACTTTGGAAATCTTTTGCTATGTAACTAGAACCTCTTACTTTCATGGGCTTAAAAATTTCAGTTTGGAAATAGTAGCTTCACTAAGATCTCAGTAGAGAACTTTTGGAGAAAATATTTTTATCTGAGCATATGAATTAGTGTTTAAGCAACGTATAGCTAAAGTATTTTGAAAGAGTCAAGGTGGAAACCTCTACTGCTTTGAAAGAACACTTCCCCTTTGGGGTAAAAATGCTATTGATACCTTACAAACTGAGTTTTTTCTATGTGTCTGAATTCTAGGATTCCACTCAGTTTTGATTGTCAGTTCTTTTGTCAATAAACTCAAGACTTGTTCAATGGTTTTAGGGGCTTGACTCCAGCACAGGCGGATTCCCAGTTCCTAGAAAATGCTAAGAGACTCTCCATGTATGGAGTGGATTTACATCATGCCAAGGTATTGGGGATTGGTTTTGGTTTTGTTTTGTTTTAGGGTAGAAATGCTTAGTATTAAAGAACATAGTATATATAGATTATTTAAAAAAATTCATACACTCAATTCTTAGGTATAAGCCATTTATCTTTTACAATAAGTACTCAGTTAACATCCTTAGAATTTATTTTAAATCTAAGTTTATTTAATACGTAGACATATGTGCAGCCTGGAAAGAATATGTTATTCAAAAGAGCGGCTAAATACATTTTAAATGTCAGGGTTTTGATGCCAAGGAGATGTGGGGCCCTAAAGTAAAGCCTAAGAAAGACAACACGTAACTGTCTTGCTAATACCGTGACAGTTAAAACCGGGGTTGTGTGTGTGTGGGGGTGTGTGTGTGCTTTTTTTTAATACTGCTTCTGGGTAGGTCAAATCAAATTTACATTTCTAGTGGGATTTTTTTAGTTTAAAACCTAACAAACCAACTAACCAACCTCCTCCCACTCCCTCGCACAAATCCAGAGTCTCAAATCATTAGGAAAATTAATGTATCATAAGCATATCAGTCCTGTATTTAAAAAAGAAAAATAGACTTTTAAGTACTGGAGAAACATTGTTTAATTCTGTTTCATATGGAACCATTGTGCACTTGTTTTTGCAATTTTCCATAGACTCTTTCCTGTGTTCTGTTAGAAACACTTGAAAGAAATATACTTAAATTTTTATTGACATGTATTAACTATGTCTGTAACGTTTATTCATTTTTTAATACAAATGTGGTGTGGCATTTCACTTGGTCTGTGGTGTTTAAGGAACTTAGATTTTTAGAGTTTTATGGGAACTTTCTTTCACCATAGTGAAGTAACTGCAAGCATTAGAACTGCTGTTTGCCGGAATCTGCTTGCAGCTGTTAGTTATGCCAGCAAAGCAATTTTTTAATGACAGTGTCAGCATTTTCTGTAGTTGATTTGTTGTTGGTGAGGACGTGAGATTCCGCTGTAATGTGTAGTGGTACGGTGTAGCGAAGCCTTATCAGTAAGTGATGAGTTTTGTAGCCTTTAAGACTTGCATCAAACACTGTCAGTGAAACACAGTGCTCAGAAACCTGGCCCACCAGTACATGGACTGAAATCATTATGTTGACATTTTCAGTCAACTATCCATTACTTCCTGTATCTTTAGTGGAGTAGTAGGTAACCATGATCACCAGTTTGTTCAGACTTTCACTGACTCGTTTTAAGTTGGAAGGGTCTGGTTTTGATTTTTCTTCTTTTAATATTTGTTGGAATTATTGTTAGCACGCCCACCATACCTCTCCTTGCTTGTAAGTTGTTGGCTTAGTCCCTATTACCAGAATCTGGAAGAACTTCTAAGAACTGTGGCATATGCAGATAGAGGCCTGCCAAAGCCTTCCAGTAAAAATAACATACATGGCTATTTCTGCTTTAAGAATCTCATTGTCAAGGTCTTTCAGGTTTGAATATGAAACAAGTCCCAGTTGCATTATTCTCTCAAGGTATGCCAGCAATAACTACTTCTTTGGAATGTTATTAAATTGATTTTTATGAAATTGTCTCATACATGATAGGATTCGGAAGGTGTGGATATCATGCTGGGTGTATGTGCTAATGGACTGCTCATTTACAAAGATAGACTCCGGATCAACCGCTTTGCTTGGCCAAAAATTCTGAAGATTTCCTACAAGCGAAGTAATTTCTACATCAAAGTCAGGCCAGCAGAAGTAAGTAGCACCTTTCTGTGTTGTTTCTTTTGTGAGAGCATTTCTATCCAGCAACAAGAAAACATCTTCATTTTTTTTCCCAGATGTCGTCACAGGCTTATGTTGGATTCAAGCAGAACTTAAGAACATTTTATTTTCCTCCTCAGATTATAGTGATTGTATTAAACACTCCTCTTGATACAAATCAAGAAGAAAATCTATTTTCTTTTGTTCATAGGTGCCATCTTGTAATTTTATTTTTTTTTTACAGGGAAAGCTAGTTATACTGGCCATGTTGTTACTGTCTATACAAACTTGCAGTCCTGGGAGAGAGCCAGCTTCTCTTCCTCTTTGGGTATAATTGTTCACTAAATGCCAACACATCTAGTTGTATGAGTGTAACCGAAGGCTTGAGTTGTCCTGCAGGATGTTATAATTCTCTGTTAATTGCTGTGGAAATACTGGATCCAACTTTCTTTTCAGATACCATTATAAGTTTGTGGGAGTTGCTGAAGTAGAGGGGGTTACGTTTTGAACACATTGTATCTGGAAATTTAACAAAAAGCAAAATGTCAAACATGCTTTTTTAGATTATACTCTAAAATGTTTAAGGTAGCTTTTACTGTGTGAATAAATAAAACAAAAGAGAAGTCTAAATACCAATAGTACAATACTAACATTGTAGTTTGGAATACAGATGTATTGGTTTTGTACTCACTGATGGTACATAAATGTAATATTTTTGCTAAGAAAATTCTATTGTGAAATGCATCATGTAAGCCTAACACTGCACTACAGGTTTCAGACTTATTAAATCCAAGGAAAGTGTGCAGCACAACCTGCAGTACAATTACTTCATGCAGTTTAAAAATAAATATATTGGGCAGCTAGTCAGAAAATCAGCAAGGAACACTAAAATATTATTGGATTTTTTGAAAGAGTCATTACTACAGATAGGAAGTGATAATGTGATAATTACCCATCATGACTAGCCTGCCAAATATAATTTTATTAAAAGGCTGGAAATAGATTTTTTTTTTTTAAATGTTATGAAGTCTTATGACAGGAGAAATACAGCTTGTTAGAGCAGTGAAACTATCTGAACTCTGCCTGCTAGTTAATAGCTTAAGGAAATGGGTTAATTTGTTTGTGGATTCTTTCCAGCTGGAACAGTTTGAGAGTACTATTGGGTTCAAGCTGCCAAACCATCGGGCTGCTAAAAGGTTATGGAAGGTTTGTGTGGAGCACCATACTTTCTTCAGGTAAATGATAATTCTCTGCTTCCCCCACTTTGCCTGGTATGCTCGTTATCTTTCTTTTAAAGAACACGAGGAAAGTAGAGAAGATTTCCCCCTCTTTGCCCCTGATATCTCAGTCCAGTAACACCTCTTAGACAGAAGACACCCTAACAATCATTCACCCCAAACTACCAATTCTGAAAGTCTCAAGTACAATTAACTGCTTTATTTAAACTTTCAGAGTGCTAAAAGGATGGAACTAAACTAGTGATCATATGTAACACTTGCTGAGAGATCAACTCTTCAGAGCAACCATCTGGAAAGCCACTATACTCCTTCACCAGAAGTTCTCAGGGGTTGACAGTAATCTTCATTCACTTCACTTTTCAGATTATTCTGCTGAGTGTAAATGCTTACAGCTGAATTTTTCCTTATTTATAAACTGGGCTGAGTTCACAGTCGTTCTTTAAAGAACAAAGAATCACTTTAAAAACAGACTACTGTTTGTTTATGTAGTAATCCTTAACTTTCTCTGCATTTTTTCACCAGCAACTGATAAACATAAAATTCTGAATTGGTCATTGAAACTATGGTCTATTTGTAAATGAGCATTTTAACAGTAGGCCACAGAGTTGTTCCTCTTTCTGCTTTCTCCATCGAAAAGGAATTTGAAGAAAATCTTCGTTTGACTTTTATAATAGCACAAACTCCATGAGGCAGTGCATATGCCCTATGCAGCCTAAGGGTCACAGATTTAGGTTGAATCTCTTATACATTTAATAGACATTGAATCTGAGTTTCTTGCTTCGAATGACCACAGTAACTAGGGTATGTAAAAGCTAAGTTTTCTCCTTCAGTAACCTGTTATTTTATTTTTGAAAAGCAATTGTGTTTTAAGGTAGATGCAATCCTGTTGCTGCATATTAGCCTAAGCTAAATATACTTGCTAGACTGAGACCTTCAGAGAACTTGGGGACCATGAGACCCAAGTAATTCATTACTGGAACTGTCTCATTGGATGGTTTTCAGTATTTTCATTGAATGTAGAATATTCTTGAATGCAGTGTTAGAATGTGTGCTGAGATTGGCAATCAGTCTCAAAATGTTTAATTTAGAAGCACTTCTTTTTTAAATCCTGATCAAAGATCTTTGTTTCATGTTTGATAGAATTCATTAGTTAAGTTTTTTAGGATACATAGTCCACCATTCTATTCCTCTTTAAAATTTGAAGTCTGTTTTGGCTGGTGATATCTGTTACCACAAATAACATGCAGTTCTGTCTGCAATGAAAAGTTTATCAACACTCTTCAAATAACTCATGCAGTGATTTGCTTTGCTGGGGAACTGTATTTCCTAATTTTACAGTAGCAAAATGGACCTGAATAGGGAAAACTCAAATCTTATGGAAGTCAAAAATCCTAAACTGAGAACTACCATTTGCAAATATAAAAGTTTTCAGGAATGTTAATACGTATTAGATAATCTTACTACAGAAATTCTGACATAATAAAAATAATTGGATTTTATTCCAATCAGAAGTGGCTTTTCCTAACCAGGAATGACATTATAACGAGAATTATGTAACAAATACTTGAACCATTCTGTAAAATCCATATACTCCACTGATGTCATCAGACAGAAAATCCTCTGAACCTTTCATCCTGATCTAAAAACAGTAAAATAAATCCAGCTCTATTTTTCTCCAAAGATAAAAAGCAGAAAGCAATTGCTACAGTCCAAGAGACTGTAGATCTTTCAGAGCATGTGTAAAGCTTGTGTATGATACCACAGTAGATTGTATTCAATTTAGATGTGCATTTTTAGCTTCCAGATCTCTTAGCATGCCCTATATAACATTGTAAGATTCCTTGTGTTGTCTTTTACAATGCTTCAGTTTTCCCAAATAATTACATTAAGATCCATCTTCTTACAATTTATGGGAAATTCAGCTAGCATATAAAGTTATTTATAAGAATTTGTAACGAATTATATTGAAAATGAGAGCCCAAAGGCATTGGATTCACTTGTATCAGCTCAACTTTATAGGATTCCAGTACCATGTTCAAAGAGAAACAATCTAAGATATACAGTCAGACTGTGTATCTACATTAATCTTTTGAGGTAAGCTTAGTCTGCAGCTCTGGATCTTAACCATTGGCTGCAGAAACCTGCTTGTAATTCTGCTTTATGATGTTTTATTTGCAATTTTCATGATTGTTTCTGAGTCTCCCCGGAATATCTTAAAATGGTAAAAGCATAGTCTTCAATTATTTTATATGCTTAAGCTTGTAATACAAAAAATCCATTCAAATGCCCTTAATCAGGAAGTAATTAGTTCTCTTGTTTTTTCCACGTTAAAAGATTAAAAGTTTATCTCGGCAGGGTGGAAGATAAAAACGGCAGTTAATGCTGTAGCCTTGCCAAGACTGGAAAATAAAGAACACAAAGAACCTTGGAAAAATCCTGTTAGCCTTCTTCCTCTTAATGCATAATGCACTCTTTCTTGGAAATAATGTGGAGAAATGAATTGTCACAAAGATTGCATAAGGCTGTTTTATAGAAGCACTGGAAGTGAAGCTCCAGACACTTGTGATTTTTAAAGTGGCCTTAGTGTAGTAGGGTGGATTTGTCTGTCTTGAATTCTATTATTTTCTTTAAAAATGTGTTGGAACAGATCAGGATTCAGGTGCATGTGTATGCATCTTAGGTATGCAGGATCGGATCCTTCTGGTTAGCACTCTGACAAAGCCATGAACATCCTCCCTTAGAGAACCTTCTACCTAGCCCACCGTTCTTTTTGCTAACTATCTGAAAATTATTCTGGTTTGCTGATAGCTTTAGAATGACTGGAAGTTTTCAGAACCCACCACTGGATACTGTTTTAACATATGTTGAATTGGATTCCACTAACAGATATTCCCTGCGTCAAAAGTGTAGAACAAAGTAGGCATACTTTTAAGTTTCGCTTGTCCATCTGTGCCATCCTAAGTACAAAGGGCACAGTAGTTGCCAGTTCTGCTTGAAAGCAGCTGATACAAAGTGAGCTTCTCATTCTTTGCAGATCCTCAAATCAAAAAGCTCTATCTGTAATAGTCTGATGGTTTTCTACAGAGGAGAATAGGCCATGGAAACTGCCATGCTGGGTGAGGATGTATTTGCAGCACTATGTTGGTCCAGGAAGCAACATCAAAGACCTTTCTAGAGAAGCTGAGACTGGGAAGAGTTCCTGCAGTGGTGACTGTTTATCCTATCAGCAAGGATGGCAATGGAACAAACAGTACCCTGGGTGTTGAAGCTGACAACTCAGGTTTCAAAACCAAAGAACAACCAATGAGGGTTATATGAATAAGAGCTTGAAGTCCTCAAACTGAAGGAAATTCAGGGAGGTATAGGGACCCTGTCTCTTCTCATGTGATGTCAAAAACTGGTGGAACATAGCAGAACCCCTCATAGCAAATTCTGCCAACATTGTTACTTGGACTTTCTGACTTTGACTCTAACACTTAGGTACAAGCATACATAGCCAGCACAGAAACCAGCATTAATAGTACTAATAACTGAATCTCTTCTTCACTCTTTTCACGATATGCTTTTTTTTTTCCCCTGCTTATATCCAGCAAACATCAACTTATATGAATCTATAAATGACATTGTAAAGAAACTGGAGTCTGAATTCAGCTTGTTAAACTTCTTACTGTTGGGTCACTGTCCAGCCTCAATCTTTTTTTCACTTGCTGCAGCCTTCTATGCAGCTTTGAGATACCATTCCCTAACTTTGAGGAATAGCAGCTGCTGTATTGGTACCTCAGAATATAGGAAAGACAGTGGAAGTGGGATTTATAGTTTCTACTATAGTTAACATTCCAAGGAGAGATGTCTGAGAGGTATTCTACATTGACCTATAATGGCCTCAGCTTTCTACAAAAAATGCAGTTTAACCAAGATAGCACCAAAAGATAAGGATGCTTAGTCATACTGTGGAAAATGTGATGGTTGTCAGCATCACTTCAACTCCAATTGCCAATAACGAATAACACGCATTTTTTTAGAGTTCTTCTCAGAGCTTATGGTAGAATCCTTTCTTGGAGTTCATAATTCATGCATGGTGAACTAAAGTTGAAATAAAATAAGTAGCTTTAAAGTACCTCATTAAATACATAAAATAAAGCCTTTTTAACTGACTTTCCTCATATTTACTTTTCAGACTTGTATCACCAGAACAGCCTCCAAAAGCAAAGTTTCTAACCTTGGGTTCCAAGTTCCGCTACAGTGGTCGTACACAAGCACAGACACGACAGGCTAGCAACCTCATAGACAGACCAGCTCCCTACTTTGAGCGCACTTCAAGCAAACGTGTTTCCAGGAGCCTTGATGGAGGTGTGACATTTGACGTATTTCTTCAGTGTGCTGATTACATTATGGGATTTCTTCAGTGTAATGACATTATGTGCTGTCCCTCTGATCCGACCAATGTTCAAAAATGTTGACATGGCTGTCCAGAATGTCAGTTGACAAATTTATGAATTTCCGTTTCTGATGGGTGATGTCAGGAGTGGCCACTTTGGTTACCTGTCAGTTTTCAGGGAACAAAACAGTAAGTCACTGCCTAAATTGTATGGCATTGCCATGAATGTGTGGATGATTCTATATTGGACATATAGCATCTGTGTTCACTGCTCACATCTGTTTTACAGGATGGGCACGTGCTATATGCTGTTGATTAGAATTGTTTGGTCAGTGGCATCTTTCAGGCTCTGGGCTGGCCTGAGTGCCTCTCTCTACACCAAACATAGAAGGGTGAACAAGTTTTTTCTTCTAGTTTTTGTATCATTTTGTTCAGTATATTGCTATCCAAGTATATTTATTAGTTAGTTACGTGTTTAGTTAAAAAGTTTTATGGTATATTGCTATCCAAGTATATTTATTAGTTACGTGTTTAGTTAAAAAGTTTTATATTGAGGCTGTTTGAATAACTAAAATCTTTGGTTACTGGTGTTTGGTCTCTTTGAGCAGAAATACCTTCTGGTTTCTGTTATTGAAAACAGCCATGCTTTCCAAAAGCAGGTATAGCAGCAGTATGTGAGAGATGTAGAAACACATGTTTTGCTCTAAATTACTTGTGAAATAAAGTAGAAAAATTCTTCAGAAAAATGATGTGAAGCTTGACTTAGATTCAGGCATACACAGCTTCACTAGAATAAAAGTCAACTGTGACAGTGATGAGAGTTTAGCTACAATTCAGCTGTTAACTTTACCTTATTTTCTCCAAAAATCTTTTACTTAGAAGACTTTTACATTTGAAAATATTTGTTCTTCTATACTGGGACAAATGAGCAAACTGTGACACTTGCTTGGGAAACCTAGAGTCTTACCTTCTGAGAACCAAAGCAAAAATAAGACACGAAAGCGCTTGTGCTGGTGGCATGTGATGAGTCCTTATGGCAACCAAAAGACTCATCACTACATCAGTGTTACCATCTGCCTCTGGTTTAGTTCCTGTACTTCTTTTGGTTAGAAACAATTTAAATTCTTCGCAACTCTTGGAGATTGTATCAGCAAGCCTTTCTGGGATCCCTTGTGCATCACCTGCAGAATGCAGATGTGTATGCATGTGTTTTCAGGTCCAAAACTTCACTCTTACAGAACCACCATAGTCAAAATTTTGAACATGATGAAACGTTGCTCTGGCTTTTCCTTTTTTTTTTTTTTGGTGGGGTTTTTTTGGGGGTTGTTTTTTTTTTTTCCTTAATCATCTTTGGTTTCATCTCAAGTGAAACTAGCTACTCCTGGCAGCATTTAAGGCAGCTTCCTGATGTTGCCACCTGCAGGCTGTAACAGTTTTAAACTGTGTTCATTCAAAGACAAACTCAAGTATTGTTCTTTCTTCAGGCAGTAGTCCAAATGTAGGTTCACACTGTAAGTGTACACTTGAAATGAAAAATTCTGTAGAGGGTGTGCTTGCACTCTCCCTCTCCTATCTAGAGCTGCATACTCATCCTTATAGGGGTTAGTCTTGCTCCAACCCCCACCTTGCCCTCACTAAGGGGACCACAGCATGCTGGAGAAATGGGCTGGAAGGAACCTTATGAAATTCAACAAAAATAAATGCAAAGTCCTGTACCTGAGGTGGAGGAGTGACATCATACACCAGTACATGCTGGGGGGCACTGACAGTGCTGAAGGCAGCTCTGCAGAAAAGGATGTGGGGTTTCCTGCTGGACAAGTTGAAAATGAGTCAACAGTGTGCCCCTACACCAAAGGTGGCCAACTGTATCCTGGGCTGTATTAGCAAGGGCATAGCCAGGACATTAGAAGAAATTATTATTCTTTATTCAGTACTTTGTCAAGACTGTATCTGGAGTACCATGTCCATCTTTGGGCTCCCCAGTATAAGATGGGCATTGACATATTGCAATGAGCCCAGTAAGAGCCACCAGGATGGCTGGAGGGCTGGGGACACGTGATATATGAGGAGAGCCTAAGCGAACTGTGGTCCTTCAGCCTCAAGAAGAGAAGGCTGTAGTGAGCTATTGTTGTCTACAGCTACCTACAGAGAAGGTATAGAGAAGACAGAGCACTCTTCTCAGAGGTGCCCAGTCATAAGGTAATGGGGAGTGCCTGCAAGTTGAGACAGAGGAGATTTCGCTTAGAAAGAAGGTTTTTTTATTTATTTATTTTAAAAGACCTTGGATATGCTCAGAACTCAACTGGACATGTCCCTGAGCAACCTGGTCTAATTGGACCTGCTCTGAGCAGGGGGTTGGACTAGCTGACCTTTCAGATATTCCTTCCAACCTAAATTATTCTTTGATTTGTCAGAAGTTACTTGTGGAACTTGAGGGACATATACCCAAGAAACACACTATTTGCCACTCAAGAAGAGATGAGAAGCTGAAGTTACAGAGCCTACTATTTAGAGAGGCCCTGAAAGACTAACATCCCACATTTGCCATTAGCTGGCCTTAGCTTCTCAGCAGCTTAAGGGAACCTCTGATATCAAGCTGAGGCTGTTTCCAAAAGAGGCTATTCCTCAAAGGTACTCCAAGAAACACCTCTTCCTCTCAACTTTCTGCACATTGGCTTTGTAAAGTCAAGGCATATGGAGGTATTACAGAAGATTGCTAAATTAATTAAATTCATATCAAAGTTTTGTTCATTAAAGCTGCTTAATTTAATTAATTCTCCTGTATTTCATTACTCCTATTTTGACTGAGCCAGTCATCCTGATGTAAAAAGAAAAAAAAAAGCCATCCTGCTCACTAATCCTATTATGCCGTATCAAATAAGAAAAACAAAATTAAGGCCTTTCACTATCTTGTGCTTTGACTATATTCAAATATACATATTCGGTATTTCCCCCTTCCATTTTTGATAAGCATATAGGGAGGAAAAGTCTTACTTGCACTGAGCTATTGTTTCTGCAGCACCAATTTTGCTAAGGTTCCAGAATAAAAATACTGTGACAGTTATATGCGTACCTATATTGCATTAAAACAGTTCTCACAAAATAGTGAATTTCCACAAAACACTGTTGTCTATGTCTCTCTTGTGACTGTAAATCACCATGACAAAAGAACAGTACCTTCAATTTGCCTTCCAAGACTAATCAGAAACTTGATAATTAAATACCTACCTGATATTGTGAGGTTTTTTTTCCCCTGGCATAGTAAGTGCACATTATATGACACAGGTACATTGCTGTTCATGTCAGTGCAATGAGAACCGTAGACTTCTTGCAAAGCCAAGAAGCTAAAAAATACTGGATTACTCAGTAACTAACCTCTATTGTTCATTGCTGACATCACCATCAAATCATTTTATTAAGAAATCTTGAAAACAAAATGTTCCAACTTACCTCAATTAACCAAAATTATTTTCTTCTCTAATAGCTCCCATGGGTATCTCAGACCAAAGTCTGCTAAGAGACTTCCCTACTACTGCAGGGCAGGCTGCTGGAGATAAAATCATTGATATTGAAGCTACCGGTCAGGCCAAGTTAAAAGAAAGTGGCAGAGAAGAAGATGGAAGCCCAGTCAAAACGCCACAATTAGAATTGACTCAGGATGGAAAGGTATGGCTGACTTTCATACCAAAATTATTTTTCACATAACGTGTGTCCATTTGTGCTTATTTAGTGTCTATCACTTCTGAACATCATACAGAACACCATATTAAAATATTAAAGGAAAATTGTCAAGTGTTTTCTGTAGGTTTAACTGAATGTGAGTGCATGTAAGCAAAAGAGACTACAAACTTTTGAATGGCATTGATCTATGGTTTCTTTCATTGCTATAAATTTAATTTCAATTCTCAGTAAGCTTGCATGAGTTCTTGAAAAAAATGTTTCAAAGAGTAAATGATGTTTTATTCATTTCCTTAGTTTGTTTAGACTTTACAAAATTGTTAGTATATCCATAGTCATGTACATTCCTCAAAGTTGGGTATATTATGACTGTTTAATTACCATAGATAACAGTATTGTTTTAGTAGCCATTGCAGAATTATTGCATCCTTTAAAAACTTGTATGTTGACTGAGGTGTAAATTTCTGTGAAAAGTTGAGTACTTTGGTCTGTTCCTGTTGCAAACAACCATTTATTTGTCTTGTTTGGTTGAGCTACTGGGAGAATAGGTCAAAAAATTAAATTTAGATCTTGTATGATTTGATATAAAAATTTCCTTTGAAAGTGTCATCTAAAATCTGCTGCTCTTCTCTTTTGGAGATCATTTCTTTTTCTGCCAGTTCTCTAGAACTTTCTTTCATATTTAAAGAGTAATTTTGTTTTCCAACATTTTTGCAAGTTAACTACCCATTTGATTCCTAGAGGGACCGCTGAGTTTCTCTGTGCGGTTCACATGTTCCCACTGCATTCAAGTGTAGGAAGGGCGCAAATCCAACAGTTGCAATTTTTTTGTTTGCTGGCAAGTGAAATAATTTTGAATTAGCCTAGGAAAAAGGCACACACAGTGTTTCTTTATGGGAGAAAAATGGTAAAATAAATTCCTATGATTTGACTTTGGGCTTGGTAAATTGATGACACTCCCTTGTTTTCAAAGTAGCAGTATCTTTCAATATTTTAACCAAAAGAAGAAGAAAAAAATAAAAAGCAGTATTTTGGGAAGTTGTTCCAGGAAGCTGTTCAGTAAGGTTTTGTTACACATGCCAAATCTGTGAACAGCTTTCTTTCCCCCCTAGCACAGATACTTATTTTCCTGTCTGGCTCTCCTTAAGTCATAGAGGAAATGGTTATAAACTCAAGAATCAAAGTGCCAGCTTGTCTTTCGTGTACTGCACTGTCCCCTGACCTTTCTGCCAAAGCTTTGAATGTCTGTCTGCTTCCATCTGTTGTAAGTGACTATTGCAGTTCAAAAGTGCACAGTTCTTTACAGCCTGAGAACAAAACGTTCATAATGGGTTCCGTATCATAAGAGAAGTAAACAAGTTGGCTGCTTGTAAAACACAGGGGGATTTCTATTTTTATTTGGCATTTCTATTGCATTAGTAGAGATATCCCTGGTTCTAAGTAAAAATTTTCACTAACTAATAATTTCTTTTTTTTCCCCCTCTTCTTGTGCCTTCAAACTTGCATTTTGTTGTGCTTTCATTTTCCACTGTGCACAGAATTTATTTCTTCAGCTCACTCACATACACCTGCCATCACTACCCATCCATTCTGTGTCATCCCACCTCACAAACCTCTCACCTGTCCCTGAGATGGACATGCTTTCAGATATTTCAGAGGAAGATCCCTTTGGAGAGCCCCTCCTTACCATCCCAGACATCTCAGAGTGCAATTCCATGAAAGAAACACCAGATCATAATAAAAATGAAATAGCTTCACCGAATAATATCTTTGAATCTATGAGATCCCTAGCTTGTTCAGTCTCCCCTGCTGTGGAGGGAAAACTCCATACAGATGACTATAAAAGCACCGAGTTGTGTGTCTCATTCAGCTTTATCAGATGCTTTTCTTTTAGTTTCCATTCACTGCTTGACGAGGATGGTTACATTACTTTTCCTAGCCTTCCTGATGTTTGCATCTCTTTCCTCCCACCTGGCCTTCAGCACTATATTCCCATTACCTCTCCTTCCTTCATCCCCTCTTTTCTTCTTATCTTCGTGCTGCTTCTGTCTGCTTTCCAGTCTATTCCTTTTTCACTCACATTTTCCCTTCCTCTCGCTCTGTCCCTCTGCTACCTGGAGCCTAAGGCGACTTCCTTTAGTGCCTCTAATGACAATGACCTGAATGACAAAGCAGAGGAAGAGGAGGTGTGTAATTTTGTTGCTTAAATGTTGACACTTGCACATAGCTTTTATGCCATTTCTCCCAGAGGCTTGCTCAGTTTTGCACACTTCCTAGTATAGGGATATGTCTGTGTACATGCCTGTATATATATAAATACAAACACACACACACACCTGTATATCTGTGTCTTTCTAAATTTTCTTACTTGTGAAAAATTGCTATTGAGGGATTTTTAGTCAATAGATAGCTGGTGGCTTTTCTGCCTGAATTCCTACAGCATGCACAATTTCATTAGATTCCACAGGTACTGAGCTGCAGGTAGAGTTGCTTTGTAGTTCAAAATGTTTATGAGCACATAAATCTGAATACAGAAAGTGCTGTATAATAATACATATATGATTACTCGATACTATTTGCAAATTGTACTACTTGCACTATCAGTTCATGTTAAAATGCATGTCTTCTGTGTGCACTGACTGAAATGCACATCTCCAGAGTTGTGTTTAGATCTGAAAAGTGAAAGTCCTAAAACATGTATTCAGAAAGTGGTGAATGTTTTAAAATCAGGTTTTTTGTTATTCCAGGTTTCGGATGTTTCTGCTCTACAAGGGTGTGTGCAAAGTTGAGTCTGTCCATGGCACTTTTTTTTTTAAGTGCTTTCATTAATGTCTAGCAGCAGTTAAGGTAGAGACTGATTTCATTCATTAGCTGGGATTGCAGGCTGGGTCAGGCTTCAACCACTGGAGCCTGAACATTGCTTGAAATACGTTGTTAAAATGGCTGTACGGAAGCCTCAGTCACACTAATACGTTGCTCTGATCATCTGGAGTGGTTGACAAAATGCCTCCTTTCTTTATGCCTGCTGTGCATGTTACAGCAATACTACTAGAAACAAGTGGTTTATTTTGATCTTCAAAGGAAATATGAAACCAAATATTACAGATATTTTACCAATATATTTACCAATATATTACCAAATATTTTAATTCTGTAATTAAAACGGGGGAGGGCCTTTTCAATGTTACATTTAGCAAAGTTTGAAACTGATTAAATCAATACAATGTAGATATTAAAAACATGCTAAATACAACATGATGTCATTAAAAACATCAATCTAAGTTTAAAATAATGACTTTAAAGACTTTCTCAATTTTTCTGTAAACTAATTCAATCTACCATTTGTAACATAAAGTTGCAGAAAATAGAACCCTAGATAAGTGAGAAATGAATAAAAATGTGGTATGTACCACATTACGTGTGCATTCACACAGAATCCACAATGCAGCAGTATGTGCAATAAGTAAACCCCTCTTCAAATTTATGTACTTGCAGAGTGTTGACTTCTAAATGCATTTTTTTTTCTCAAGATTAGTAGTTGATATTTGTACCTGTGGAAAGACTGGGAAGTGGTTTGCTTTTTAGGGAATGCTGTTCCTTAAGGCATTCAGAATACTTGTAGGTAAGATAGGAAGATTAGCTGTCATTTCCAAGAGAGTGCATTGCAGTTTGAGGAAGAAATTATTCACCTAAACAGGGGGCTGGGGTGCAAATAACTCATCCCAAGACAGCAACATTATTAAAATAATTAAAACAGTTCGTAAATATAGTACAGTATTTAGGTGTTTGACTTGAATCTTAGACTCTCTTACCAAAAGAAGTCATGCATTAGATTCCATTTTCCCATCAACTTGTTGCAGAGCTTAAGGCACTTACCATAGAAATTATGCATTTTTTAAGTGTATTTTATTTTATTTTTTCTTTACTCATTCTTAAATTTCCATCTGGGAAAACACTGAAAAGTACAGCAAGAAAGGGACATAGTATGAAACTTTCATTTGCCATGCCACTTACGCCAAATATTACTTCAGCCATTCTACGACAATGTAGGTGAAGGAAGACCAAAGTCGCTTAATAATTTCAACAACATCTGTGGCCGAAACAGTAAAGGTCTGTAAATACAGCACGCTTTGCAGCATTTACAAAGAGGTGAAGCCTCTGTGTTAGTCTGTAAGCATATGCTAACGGTTCCTTTTCTTGATAATTTGCCATGTGCTCACATAGGTGGAATCTGAAGAGGAGGAAGCACAACAGAAGGTGCATGGTTGGTTTTTTACAATTAAATCTGGCTGTAGCTGCCTGCCGTGTTAGCACCCTACACTTCTGTGGATTTAGTCTGAATAGTGCCTTTTCACCTTGCCATTTGATTTCCTTTATTTAACTGTCTGATTCTAAGGGTCTTTTTTTATTTACTTGCTGGTATATTTTATGTTCATTTTGGTTTTTATGTTTGTTTTGTTTTTGTTTTTTGTGTGTGGCTTAATTTCACAGAGCAATTCCTTGAGAGTAGACGGGGAAAATATTTATGTCAGACATAGCAATTTAATGTTGGAGGTTTGTATATAATATAAGAAACACTTTCCCTTCTCACGGGCTGCCAGGCTGCATGGAATGGGAGGTCACTTGCAGGCTGTTACAGGCACAGTGCATGAAGTGCATGGGGGAAAACCAGCTTGGAAATATTGCATGCTATAATTCTAGTTTCCAAGTTTAAATAAAAATAAAAAAACCCAAGCCAACAAAAAAAACCCCAAACCAACAAAAAATCCAAGCAAACAAAAAACCCCTCAGCTTGAATGTTGGATGTACATTTTATATATCTTTGCTAGATGTTTTCAAGGTGGCAACTGGGAATAATAGCCCTATTTAGATAAAGCAAACACCTGGGTCCAATTCATAATCCTAAATGGGATTTTTATACATTGCTCCTCAATGTGTGTATCTTCTGTTGAGCAGGTTTCTATTTATCACCAGTTTAATCAGCCTTTATCAAATACATTATAAATGTAGTTAGTAAGGAACAAGCAGTGATAGAAGTATGGAAAAACTAATTCTGATTCTGAAGCTTGTTGATTTTAGGAGCCGTGAGAGATGTAGATGAGGATCAGATTTTTAAAGGAAATGTTTAGATATGTTCTGAAATCTTTGCCTTATTTTGTCACTTTTCAAATGAAAGTAATTCTTGCTTCTTAAAGGTTGGTTTTCATTGAAGATGAACAACAACAAAGAGCTTTAAACAGTATGTTAATGTGTAGTGCTCTGTCACTGAAGTAGAGACTTGTATTTTCAGAATTTCCATATAGTCTGTTAATCTGGATTATTTTGTCAAAGACTGTGGTTATAATCAGTGTCATTTAACTTGTGGTTAATAACATAAACTAGTAACTGAAGAAATTTTAGAAAATCCTTCTGCTGTCCTTAACTTATTTTATTCATCCAGATGGGGCTATAAATAATTCCCTTTGTCACAAAAACTGTCTTTTTAAAAATCATTGGTTTTGTTCAGTAATAAGGAGATGTATGGATCACAGTAACCCGACTAATACGTTTTTGGCTTTTTGCAGCTTTTGATCACTATTGAAACTTTGCTTGTGTATAACTTACTAAAGCACTGAAAGCGTGTATTGCATAACTGTGCTTTGATCAAGTCCAAGAAACATGCCTTGTGTCAAGCCAAGACAGGTTTTAAAATTATGACATGATTGTTACGAGCTTCAATTGTGTAATGGAATGCCTTTGGCATAAGGTTTTACTTCACTCAGAAAATACATACTTTAGGGGGACATATTTAAGGTCTCATTTGTTAGTCCTAGATTAAAAGTGAAGCATTGGTCCGTGACAGTATGAATCCACTGAGCTGCCCGAAGGGGAGAGGTTCTTAGTGTTCAAAGTGCACGTGTGAATGTTTGCGGATTTAGGAAACAAGTGGTGCAGCACCACCTGTTACTGGGGCTGAACATGCAAGTGAAAAGTAATTAGAAACTAATGCCTTTGTATTGGGTTTGGATTTTTCATGACTTAAGACAGGGCATCTTTGCATTGTGAGCACTAACTATAAAATGTTGAAGTAAAATTTCAAAATGTTCTGTTACAAAGTATATACAATCTTTGTACAGAAACCAGATGCTTTACCTAAATTATTGTATCTGATTACATTCTTCTGATAAAACTTCATTAATAATTATGTCTACGTTGATATTATTCCATTTTAATTTTCAATCTTTTAATTCTGTACTAAAAATGGATCTGAGGCTTGAACTTGAATTTCACCACAGAATACTGAAACAATATGCTTGTGTTAGAGTGTGCATAACCAACATAGGCTTTCCTCAAGACCTGGCATGCTGGAAGGGGGACAGATTACGAAAGCAGAGTGAAATCTGCTCTTCCCACCAAAGCCCAGCATTGTATTCAAAGGATAGTGAATTGTTAGGTCTGGTCCTGTATCTGGCGTAAACCGAAAGACTAGCTTGTAGTTAATTTGATCCAAGGTGCTGCAGCTTAGCCTCAATGTGTCATCATAAAATCTAATTTGATATTCACGCTGTGGTGACCCTTTGGCACTTGCCTATGTAGGTCCAATTTAGAGAGAACATCTCTTTGGTATTGGATGTGCACAAAACCTGTCCCTACTTGAGTGCTGTGTTTGCTGTCAGGTTCTTAGATGTGGAATTGGCAGATTTCAGGCTTCAAGTCTTTAAACCTGATTCTTCCAGTAAGTTTAAGCCTACATGACAGGCACAATGAGTAGTCCCTCTGAAGTTAAGCAGGCGTTAGTTGCTTTCGTATTTGGCCTTGTAGTATCATCTTCACAGAAGTTAAGTATTTTTCATGGAGCTTTTAATATCAAGACAGATCATTTTTATAATGCTTCTTGGGTTAGACTATTCTTCCTTACAGCTGCCTTCAGCAATGTTAGTTGTGCAATATCCCAAAATGCCTGCTTGTGTGCTTACAAATTTTAGATGAAAGCAAGCAACTACTGGAAATTATTATTGTTTCAAAGGGCTAGTACTTTCATGTTTTGGATGAAAAGATCTCTCTGTTAAACAACCATGCACAGCATTATTTTTCCTTTGCCTTAAAATACGGAAGAAACAGTGTATGAGCGGCCCTTCATTACAAAAACAAAACCAAAATCATCTGAGTTCTCTTAGAGCCTTAAACTTTTTTATTTTAAGGCATTCCAAAGAAGAATAGCTCTTCAGACACAAGGCACTTTCTTTGGTTTGGTTTCTTTTTTCTTTTTTTTTTTTCCCCAGTTAAGTTTGCTTTTGTTGTCGTGTTTTGTCCTACTTTGTTTTACGTTACGGGTTGCTAGGACCTGGATAAGACCCAGGACGACTTACTGAAACACCAGGCTAGCATTAGTGAGCTCAAGCGCAATTTCATGGAATCCACACCTGAACCACGCCCAAATGAGTGGGAAAAGCGGCGTATCACACCTCTGTCCCTACAGACACAAGGGGTATGTCACTGCAGACGCTTGTCCGCATGCGTTTCCATACAACCCTGTATGTGATATAGTAAATGCAGTTTGTCCTTTAGATTAACGCTTTCTTTGGCTAATGTAGTATTTGTTTGTACTAAGTGTACATTAACTTTTTACCACTTACCATTGGACTTGACTTTAGATAATATGTAGAATTTTATTCTTCTACAAGAACAACTGAAATAGAATCACTAGAAAAAAATGGAGGTGATGTCAGTATTGTCCTGTGTGTTAAGGACATCTTAAATTTCACTGTGATTTACATAGGCTGATGGAGATAACTTCTCAGTGACAGCAGAACTTTTCCCTGCTTTCCCCTGTCTTCAGCTCTTTATAGACAGCTTGTGCATAAACACACACATAGCCTGTGTGTTGTTTCAGAAGGTCCGTACATGGTCAGTTAATTTACAGTGTTGACTTCTGCAGGACATATTTAATGTAGTTGTTAAAATTTACTGACCTTAATCTCCCAAAGTCTGTAAAATGAATTTATCTACTTTTTCTCTATACCTCCTTCCTGACAGAACCTTAAAACAGCAGTTTGGAAAAAGATTTTCTACAAATATAACCCTGAATGCCTGAGCCAAGAAAACTACCCAAATAAATTTCTCTTGCTGTTGTGAAACTTTTAGTTTTATGAGGAGTATTTGCTGCTTCTTTCATAGAGTAGGAAAATAAATCAGTCTTTGAAAGCAATCAGTTTATCTTCTGTTTTATCCTTGTCTTTCACCATTGTTCTTACCCTTCCCTCCTAAAAGTATTGTTATCCTTTCCAATTAAATTCTTAAGTATTCTCTTCAGTCTCCAGAGAGGTGAACTTTAAATTAAGTTTGCTTGATGCTACCAAATAATTTTAATAGGACATTATTTCAATAAGACACTTAAGCAATCTGAACTGTGAGTATGTGCATACAGATAATACAGTCACTGATTGTATGGATCACTTCTTTAATGTTACTGCCGAGAAATTACTCCTCAAATTTCTGAGTGGTACCTGAATATTTCTGTGCATAGTGGTATATGCATAGGTACAAATGTTGGTCAAATTTTCAAATGTCCATGACACATTGGTTCATTTAATAGCTATAAATATCTTTTTGCTTAAAATAGACATTTATGTAAAAGCGTAACAATTTTTATATGTGGTTGTATGTATTGTCTGTGTTGATTTCTTTGTGTTGAAGTTGAGACCCCTCCAAGTTTTTATCTCTGGTGGTTTTTTTTCCTCATCTAATATGTTCTGTCACTTTCAGATGGCTTGGTTTTATGTTTATGTATAGTGTGTGTCTGTCTCATTGCTTGTTGATTTTACACTGGTTTTATAAAATGAAAACCAAATAGAAAAAAGGAGACCACATTTTCCAAGTGAAAACGCTGCCTGGGAAGGAGAAGCAATGGACTGCGATGCCATGGATTGCTGGAGCAAAACCAGAGGAAACCGATAAGGTGGCTGCCCTGAAACCTACTGCCTTTTTTGCTGTATCTGCTGTGGGCTAGCTTGCGCACTTTCTTTTTCTTTTTTTTCCCTGATGGAGATAATTTTTTTTTAAGCCAGTACTGAAAGAAGTTTGAGTTGTAAACCAAGATCTGTTTGTGTGTGTATATATACACACATATATGAATGCCAGCAACATTCTGCTTAAATACCAAACTAGCTGTGAAGTTCTGAATGGCTACTATTTAAAAAGAAAACCAGCTTTTCATTGGAAAATTACTGTATTTTATGTGACTAGGATGACAGCAAAATATGTATTTCTATTCCAGATGGAAATAATTGTTTGCAGTTATATGACACTTCGTGCAAGAACTTTTTGTTTTCCATGGTCACTATGTAATCATTCAAATCAGTAATGCTGTAGAAGCAGCTTCATTTCAACAGCAGCCTGGTTCTGAGTTCCTCCACGCTTCCATACCCCTTTTTTTCATCCAGGAAAAGAGGGAAGTTTCCTCCCCCCATAAGCTGTGCAGTGAAAACTCTATATAACCCGTGGGACTACTAGCAGCATAATAGTGATGATGGTTAGCAATTGTGATGTTGCTTTTATACATCACTTCTGGACTATTCTCCACCACCCAGAAATTCGGACAAAAGTAGGCTAATGTAAAGCTGTCAGTCCTATTTCAGTAACGTATATAAGTATGAGGTTTGGGAAACAGAGTATTTCCATCCTGAATTATTTGTTGATGGATGTGGAGAAGTTTGTGTTCAAGTGTTTTGTTTCCCCCAATTTATAAACTTGCTAGTATTAGTAGACTAATACATTGCTCAGTCCCTTCCTGGACTGTATGTTTCCTTGCCCATCTTTTAGGATAGTCGGACAATAGACGAGAATAAAGCACGGATACCACTACTAATATTCTTTCTTTTCTGCCTTCTTTTGCTCCAATGAAAATACTTGCAAATAAGTAATTTTCTGTGTGTGAGAAATGTTATTTTGGGTACATCTTGTTTGTGCCACTATACTTCTGTATCACCATACTCCCACGAATGCACAGCATCTGTGACTTAATTAAAACAGAAATTGTGACATATTGATATGTATGTCACAAATAAATATGCAAAATATTGTTATGTTATGGATACCCAGAATCTTTTTTTTTTCCTAATCCATTCCCCATCTCCATGCTGCTTGTAAACAGTATTTCATGTTAGTGTATATGACTATGTACCAGAAGGAATTTGCCAGGAATTTAAACATCTTCACAGGCTGATACATTATTGTAACTATTGGATAAGGAGTGCAAATTCTATCTATATATTTAATCTTTTTTACTAAATACCCCATCAGGGAACAGGGGTTACATTATTAAGCAAATTGTGTGATTGGGGTTTTCCTTTTAAAAGATGAGAAGACCTAAAAATTTGAAGGTGTTAAAATGCAAAAAGATGGGTGGTATGTGCCTGTCTTTCTCTCTCCCCACATATGTATATAATTAGTGATGCATACAGTCTGACCACATACCATATAAATATTCCCCCCCCCCCCCTTTTTTTTTTTACTGCTTTGAGTGGTTAGAAAACATGTCGTTTCTACCAGAGTACGGTAGAAGCAGCATCGTGATAATTTTTGCCTTTTGATGTAATCTCTTAATAGATAAACATTTAATGGGTGTGGTAAACTAGGGA